ATAATAAAAAAATAATAATAAAATATAAATATATTCTACTACTACTAATAATAATAATAAAAATACAAATAATGACCATTACTACAACAACAACTACTACTACTATTGATGATGATGATAATAATAATATTAAGAAGAAGAAGAAAATGTAATTACTACTCCTACTAATATTAATAATAAAAATAATAAAAAATATAAATAAATTCTACTACTACTAATAATAATAATAAAAATACAAATAATGACTACTACTACTAATTGCATTGCATAGAGAAGCAAAGAGATCCAGTGATGACATCACTGCGTATAAATATGTAATGAATACGGAAATATTTTTTTATAAAGATGTTATGCTCATGTTGGCGAAGGGGGAGGAGGGATCGTGTTGGCGAGGGGGAGGAGGGATCGTGTTGGCGAAGGGGGAGGAGGGATCGTGTTGGCGAAGGGGGAGGAGGGATCATGTTGGCGAAGGGGGAGGAGGGCTCATGTTGGCGAAGGGGGAGGGATCATGTTGGCGAAGGGGGAGGAGGGATCCTGTTGGCGAAGGGGGAGGAGGGATCGTGTTGATGAAGAGGGAGGAGGGACTCGGTGGGTACTGGGGAAGAGGAGGGTGCTGGGGATGCAGTGGGTGCTGAGGACTCGGTGGGTACTGGGGATGAGGAGGGTGCTGGGGACGCGGTGGGTGCTGGGGATGCAGTGGGTGCAGGGGACTCGGTGGGTGCTGGGGACAAGGAGGGTGCTGGGGACGCGGTGGGTACAGGGGACGCAATGAGTGCTAGGGACACGGTGGGTGCTTGGAATGCGGTGGGTGCTGGGGATGCAGTGGGTGCAGGGGATGAGGAGGGTGCTGGGGAATCGGTGGGTACTGGGGACACGGTGGGTGCTGGGGACGCGGTGGGTGCTGGGGACGAGGAGGGTGCTGGGGAATTGGTGGATACTGGGGAACAGGAGGGGTGCTGGGGACGCGGTGGGTGCTGGGGATGCAGTGGGTGCTGGGGTCATGGTGGTGCTTGGAATGCGGTGGGTGCTGGGGACTCGGTGAGTGCTAGGGATGAGAAGGGTGCTGGGGACACGGTAGGGGGCAGGGGATGCAATGAGTGCTGGGGACACAGTGGGTACTGGGGTCATGGTGGTGCTTGGAATGTGGTGGGTGCTGGGGACGAGGTGGGTGCAGGGGACGCAATGAGTGCTGGGGATGAAGTGGGTGCTGGGGACAAGGTGAGTGCTTGGGACACGGTGGTTGCAGGGGACGCGATGAGTGCTGGGGACACAATGAGTACATGCGTCGGGGAGGGCTTTAAAAACAAGGGGTTAATCTGTTTTTTCTGCACCCCAACCACTGAGCCCCAAGTTAACATGGTCAGCAACCGTGTCAGTATGTCAGTTGCCCCCCCCTACAGAACACGCAATGCACACGGCTGTGGCGGGCTGTCAATGGTTAGAATCCAAAGAGCTCCTCCTGGCTGCAGAGAAGATGCAGAAAAGCAACTGAAAACCAAAAACACGGCTAAGTACGGAAAAATGAGATCCGGCTTCAGCGTAGCTCCACCCATGCCATGCCCCTCTGATGTGTTTCGCCCTCCTCCCACAGGGAGGAGGTCTATGATTCTATGACTAAGCCCTGTGTGCAGGGCGAAATGCGTCAAGGGGGTGTGACCTGGGAGGAACTGATGCGTTTTGCCCCACCCACAAGGCGACTTGGCCATAGAGGTCCATGACTAAGCTCTGTGGGCGGGGTGAAACGTGTCAGAGGGGAGTGGGCTGGGGAGAGCTAGGCTGAAGCCGCATCTCATCTTTCCATGGTCTGTGTTTGTGGCGTCCGGCTCTGCGACTTCTTGCAGCACAGGAAAAATTATCAATGGTGGTGCACTTCACTCCCCAGAGATCAGATGCTTCTCATCTATGAACCTCAGATGTGGGGGATGGGCAGAGAAGACGCAAGATGGACGGAGAAGACGCAAGATGGGCGGAGAAGATGCACAATGGACAGAGAAGACGCAAGATGGACGGAGAAGACGCACAATGAACGGAGAAGACGCAAGATGGGCGGAGAAGACGTGCGATAGACGGAGAAGACGCACGATGGACGGAGAAGACGCACAATGGACAGGGACGGAGAAGACGCACAATGGACGGAGAAGACGCTCAATGGACGGAGAAGTCGCACAATGGACAGGGACGGAGAAGACGCACAATGGACGGAGAAGACGCTCAATGGACGGAGAAGACGCACAATGGACGGAGAAGACGCTCAATGGACGGAGAAGACGCTCAATGGACGGAGAAGACGCACAATGAATGGAGAAGACGCACAATGGACGGAGAAGACGCACAATGGATGGAGAAGACGCACAATGGACGGAGAAGACGCACAATGGATGGAGAAGACGCACATTGGACGAGAGAAGACGCACAATGGATGGAGAAGACGCACATTGGACGGAGAAGACGCAATGTGGATGGGGAAGATGCACAATGGACGGAGAAGACGGAAAATGGACGGAGAAGACGGACAATGGATGGAGAAGACGCACAATGGATGGAGAAGATGCACAATGGACGGAGAAGACGCACAATGGATGAAGAAGACGCAATGTGGATGGGGAAGACGCACAATGGACGGAGAAGACGCACAATGGATGGAGAAGACGCACAATGGACGGAGAAGACGCACAATGAACGGAGAAGACGCACCATGAACAGAGAAGACGCACAATGGACGGAGAAGATGCACAATGGATGGAGAAGACGCACAATGGATGGAGAAGATGCACAATAGACGGAGAAGACGCACAATTGATGGAGAAGACGCACAATGAACAGAGAAGACGCACAATGAACAGGGAAGACGCACAATGGACGGAGAAGACGCACAATGGACGGAGAAGACGCACAATGGACGGAGAAGACACACAATGGACGGAGAAGACGCACAATGGACGGAGAAGACACACAATGGACGGAGAAGACGCACGATGGACGGAGAAGACGCACAATGGACGGGGACGGAGAAGACGCACTATGGACGGGGATGGAGAAGACGCACAATGGACGGAGATGACGCACAATGGACGGGGACGGAGAAGACATACAATGGACGGGGGGGAGAAGACGCACAATGGACGGGGACGGAGAAGACGCACAATGGATGGAGAAGACGCACAGTGGACGGAGAAGACATACAATGGACGGGGACAGAGAAGACATACAATGGACGGGGACGGAGAAGACGCACAATGGACGGGGATGGAGAAGACGCACAATGGACGGAGATGACGCACAATGGACGGGGACGGAGAAGACATACAATGGGCGGGGACGGAGAAGACGCACAATGGACGGGGACGGAGAAGACGCACAATGGATGGAGAAGACGCACAGTGGACGGAGAAGACATACAATGGACGGGGACAGAGAAGACATACAATGGACGGGGACGGAGAAGACGCACAATGGACGGGGACGGAGAAGACGCACAATGGACAGAGAAGACGCACGATGGACGGGGACGGAGAAGACGCACAATGGACAGAGAAGACGCATGATGGACGGAGAAGACATACAATGGATGGAGAAGACGCACAATGGACGGAGAAGACATACAATGGACGGGGACAGAGAAGACGCACAATGGACAGAGAAGACGCATGATGGACGGGGACGGAGAAGACGCACAATGGACAGAGAAGACGCATGATGGACGGGGACGGAGAAGACACACAATGGACAGAGAAGACGCACGATGGACGGGGACAGAGAAGACGCACAATGGACAGAGAAGACGCACGATGGACGGGGACGGAGAAGACGCACAATGGACAGAGAAGACGCACGATGGACGGGGACGGAGAAGACGCACAATGGACAGAGAAGACGCACGATGGACGGGGACAGAGAAGACGCACGATGGACGGGGACGGAGAAGACGCACAATGGACAGAGAAGACGCACGATGGACGGGGACGGAGAAGACGCACAATGGACGGAGAAGATGCACAATGGACGGAGACGGAATGGGACGATTTCTTGGTATTTGGAAGGAAGTTATTTGTAGACTTTCAGAAGACAGGACTGAAATCCCGGGTTTACCACTAATGCGTCCTACAGACGGGGAACCTGTCACAACAGGAAAACTCGCCAAATAAGTGTCAGACGTTTGACATGTCCATAAAGTTTGGTTGGTCGGCTCTGCTCGTGTTGTGGGCGCGGCCGCTCCTGTAATGCCCGTGTAGGTGGCGGGATTATGGGATTAGACGCTTTATGAGAAGCAGGTGGATTGTTCCTCATTGTATCTCTGAGGCTGGAATGCACACGTTTCCGGTCTATGTTGGGGACGGGGATGTGCAGAATACGGCACAAGGACCGCTGAGGGAACCTGCAGTCCAGTTCTGGATCAAAGATCACGAATTCCAGCCGGTGCCGGGTGAACGACGGGACTACCGGAGCCCAATCCAGAGAACCGGGCAGAGCAATGATGGAGCAAGTGCATGTAGACAGGAAGCAGGCGATAGAGGTGCAGGAGTAAGAAAAAGTGATCTACAATACACCGCACAATCGAAGGCGACCATCTAAATCTGAAATCGAATCTGATTGTATTTTACCTCCCCTCCCCCAACATGCTAATGCAATTTCTACATGAAACCTCTCAGGAGCCCTCAGTCCTGATGCAGGCAGTGGGAGGAGTTATGCAAATTTAAAAACACCTTAATGGGTAGGTGTCAGTCTGGATGAGTGGGTGTTCCTAAACAGGCATATTTGCATAGGTAACGCCCACATGAGATTCTGAGCCTCCATGATTGAAGGACCAGAAATTCATTGAATGAAAGGGGTGGGGCCAGGGGACAATCAGGCTGGAGAAGAAAGAGCTAAATGATGCTGGACGTCCTTCAGCCAGGAAATGAGGCGGAGCTCTGTCTGACTTCCTGCAGCTTCTAATGCACATTGTGGGACATCAGAGAAAGCCATTTCAGTCCAGGAGAGGAGCCGGTACACCTGTGCAAGACTGAAGGGGAGGAGCCGGTACACCTGTGCAAGACTGAAGGGGAGGAGCCGGTACACCTGTGCAAGACTGAAGGGGAGGAGCCGGTACGCCTGTGCGAGACTGAAGGGGAGGAGCCGGTACACCTGCACAAGACTGAAGGGGAGGAGCCGATACACCTGGGCGAGACTGAAGGGGAGGAGCCGGTACACCTGCGCAAGACTGAAGGGGATGAGCCGATACACCTGTGCAAGACTGAAGGGAGGAGCCGGTACACCTGTGCAAGACTGAAGGGGAGGAGCCGGTACACCTGTGGAAGACTGAAGGGGAGGAGCCGGTACACCTGTGCAAGACTGAAGGGAGGAGCCGGTAAACCTGTGCAAGACTGAAGGGGAGGAGCCAGTACACCTGTGCAAGACTGAAGGGGAGGAGCCGGTACAACTGTGCAAGACTGAAGGGGAGGAGCCGGTAAACCTGTGCAAGACTGAAGGGGAGGAGCCGATACACCTGGGCGAGACTGAAGGGGAGGAGCCGGTACACCTGGGCAAGACTGAAGGGGAGGAGCCGATACACCTGTGCAAGACTGAAGGGAGGAGCCGGTACACCTGTGCAAGACTGAAGGGGAGGAGCCGGTACACCTGTGAAAGACTGAAGGGGAGGAGCCGGTACACCTGTGCAAGACTGAAGGGGAGGAGCCGGTACAACTGTGCAAGACTGAAGGGGAGGAGCCGGTAAACGTGTGCAAGACTGAAGGGGAGGAGCCGATACACCTGTGCAAGACTGAAGGGGAGGAGCCGATACACCTGGGCGAGACTGAAGGGGAGGAGCCGATACACCTGTGCAAGACTGAAGGGGAGGAGCCGGTACACCTGTGCAAGACTGAAGGGGAGGAGCCGGTACACCTGTGCAAGGCTGAAGGGGAGGAGCCGATACACCTCCACAAGTCTGAAGGGGAGGAGCCAGTACACCTGGGCATGACTGAAGGGGAGGAGCCGATACACCTGTGCAATACTGAAGGGGAGGAGCAGGTACATCTGTGCAAGACTGAAGGGGAGGAGTCGGTACGCCTGTGCAAGACTGAAGGGGAGGAGCTGGTACACCTGCACAAGACTGAAAGGGAGGAGCCGGTACACCTGTGCAAGACTGAAGGGGAGGAGCCGGTACACCTGTGCAAGACTGAAGGGGAGGAGCCGGTACACCTGTGCAAGACTGAAGGAGAGGAGCCGGTACATCTGTGCAAGACTGAGGGGGAGGAGTCTGTATACCTCTGCAAGACTGAAGGGGAGGAGCCGGTACGCCTGCACAAGACTGAAGGGGAGGAGCCGATACACCTGGGCGAGACTGAAGGGGAGGAGCCGGTACACCTGCGCAAGACTGAAGGGGAGGAGCTGATACACCTGTGCAAGACTGAAAGGAGGAGCCGGTACACCTGTGCAAGACTGAAGGGGAGGAGCCGGTACACCTGTGCAAGACTGAAGGGAGGAGCCGGTACACCTGTGCAAGACTGAAGGGGAGGAGCCGGTACAACTGTGAAAGACTGAAGGGGAGGAGCCGATACACCTGGGCGAGACTGAAGGGGAGGAGCCGGTACACCTCGGCAAGACTGAAGGGGAGGAGCCGATACACCTGTGCAAGACTGAAGGGAGGAGCCGGTACACCTGTGCAAGACTGAAGGGGAGGAGCCGGTACACCTGTGCAAGACTGAAGGGGAGGAGCCGGTACACCTGTGCAAGACTGAAGGGGAGGAGCCGGTACAACTGTGCAAGACTGAAGGGGAGGAGCCGGTAAACCTGTGCAAGACTGAAGGGGAGGAGCCGATACACCTGGGCAAGACTGAAGGGGAGGAGCCGATACACCTGTGCAAGACTGAAGGGGAGGAGCCGGTACACCTGTGCAAGACTGAAGGGGAGGAGCCGGTACACCTGTGCAAGGCTGAAGGGGAGGAGCCGATACACCTCCACAAGTCTGAAGGGGAGGAGCCAGTACACCTGGGCATGACTGAAGAAGGGGAGGAGCCGATACACCTGTGCAATACTGAAGGGGAGGAGCCGGTACATCTGTGCAAGACTGAAGGGGAGGAGTCGGTACGCCTGTGCAAGACTGAAGGGGAGGAGCTGGTACACCTGCACAAGACTGAAGGGGAGGAGCCGGTACACCTGCGCAAGACTGAAGGGAAGGAGCCGGTACACCTGTGCAAGACTGAAGGGGAGGAGCCGGTACACCTGTGCAAGACTGAGGGGGAGGAGTCTGTATACCTGTGGAAGACTGAAGGGGAGGAGCAAGTACAGCTGCACAAGACTGAAAGGGAGGAGCCGGTACACCTGTGCAAGACTGAGGGGGAGGAGTCTGTATACCTGTGGAAGACTGAAGGGGAGGAGCAAGTACAGCTGCACAAGACTGAAGGGGAGGAGACGGTACACCTGTGCAAGACTGAAGGGGAGGAGCTGGTACACCTGTGCAAGACTGAAGGGGAGGAGCCGGTACACCTGTGCAAGACTGAAGGGGAGGAGCCGGTACACCTGTGCAAGACTGAAGGGGAGGTATACCTGTGCCCCTTTTGAGAATGAACGCTGAGTTCGAAACGCGTTAATAAGGAGCCCCTGTAAGCCGTTGACGTCAAGCCGTCAGATCTCGGAGGTTTGACAGCCACTCAGTATTACCAGCTGGTCAGTTTTTGCTTTATTTGCGATTTTCGTTGTATTGCTTCTATTATTTACTGCAGTTTTGTACGTTTTTTGGATTAATTCCTTTTTTATTATTACTACCAATAAAGTACCATTGAAATACTACCTCATGGGATTATCCCGAATTCTTGCTCTATACCGAGCACCTTAATCCCCCAGCAATCTCCAGTGAACGTCCCAGAGCCTGGAAGAGGCTGAACTACCTATATTTGGCTATCACATCCTGGTACGTAAAGGAGGCCCCCAGGCTACATCCCGGACTACCCCTAATGGGACCCGGGAATTATCAAGATTTTATGATACAACGCGCTTTTCATTAGCGCATCTGGTGAGTGCGCATTTCACACATTAATTGACACACCCATCTAAGGAGGATAAACACTGCGATTTTATTGAAGTCACCTGGAGATCTGATTTTAAGATTTCAATAACTTTTATGATCCTAACGCATTTTAGAGTTGTGCGTTTATTGTGGACGTTTGCACCTTTATTTATACATTTGTCAGACTATAACACACTTATAATCACTGTGCGAATATATTATATGAGCAAGACGCATTTATTACCTGTTTATGTCATTCATATTTTTGTTTTATTCCTGTGCACATAATTACTTTGAAGACATATGATTTACCTTTTAGCGTGTTCAGCTGCTTTTATTTTTAGCGCTGGCTTTACTCTCCACAATTTTTAGTATTTTTTTAATATTTGACGTGTTTGGTATCTATTTACTCAACACAACCCTTTTATATTTTACCCCAAATATTATGTAGAATAGTGTATTTGGTGGCATTTAAATTCATTCATAAAAAAAAAAATTGCAACTACCGCCATTTTATTCTCCAGGGACTTTGCTTTCAAAAAATATATACTCTTTTTTTTTTTTGGATGGGGGGTTTCAGTCATTTCTACCAAAAATACAGATTTTATTGTCTGCAAAATCTAAAAATAATTGCCAGTGGTTAAGGACGTTCGTACTGCGCAGCCACTGACCGCAGCCGCTCACCCCCCCAGCAGACGCCCGGCATTCAGGGGGCCGAGGATGATTGGCAGGTGGTTTCCACGGGAATGCCGGTGCTGCCAGCGAGCTGAGCTGGGTGTCGGCGTTCAATTGCCGGTTCCACATTAAACAATTCTGTGACCCAATTTGTCTTGGCAGGAATAAGAACGAGGCGTCGGGTGACAGATGAAACCATCAGATCATCGCCAACAAAGGAGAGAATAATCCGTCTATTAGGAAATTCACTCGCAGCGTCGCCAACGCAGCTCAGGCTTCCTCGCGGTTCTACCGTTTACCTGACGCCAATTTCTGCCTTTCACATTGCTCTTCCCTATTTTTTAGGGCTCGAGGCAAGTTTCCTGATGGTGGCAAAAGTGGGCCATGACTTCATGATGTACATCGAAATGGGCACTTGCAAACTTTATCAGGAACCCAAGTGGTGGGGTGACAACGCTGGAGCACACCTGGGAGCAGCGGGGTGACAACGCTGGAGCACACCTGGGAGCAGCGGGGGGTGACAACGCTGGAGCACACCTGGGAGCAGTGACAACGCTGGAGCACACCTGGGAGCAGTGACAACACTGGAGCACACCTGGGAGCAGTGGGGTGACAACACTGGAGCACACCTGGGAGCAGCGGGGTGACAACGCTGGAGCACACCTGGGAGTAGTGGGGTGACAACGCTGGAGCACACCTGGGAGCAGTGACAACGCTGGAGCACACCTGGGAGTAGTGGGGTGACAACGCTGGAGCACACCTGGGAGCAGTGACAACGCTGAAGCACACCTGGGAGCAGTGACAACACTGGAGCACACCTGGGAGCAGTGACAACGCTGGAGCACACCTGGGAGTAGTGGGGAGACAACGCTGGAGCACACCTGGGAGCAGTGACAACGCTGGAGCACACCTGGGAGCAGTGACAACGCTGGAGCACACCTGGGAGTAGTGGGGTGACAACGCTGGAGCACACCTGGGAGCAGTGACAACGCTGAAGCACACCTGGGAGCAGCGGGGTGACAATGCTGGAGCACACCTGGGAGCAGCGGGGTGACAACGCAGGAGTACACCTGGGAGCAGGGAGGTGACAATGCTGGAGCACACCTGGGAGCAGCGGGGTGACAACGCTGGAGCACACCTGGGAGCAGCGGGGTGACAACGCTGGAGCACACCTGGGAGCAGTGAAGTGACAACACTGCAGCACACCTGGGAGCAGAAGTGTGACAACGCTGGAGCACACCTGGGAGTAGTGGGGTGACAACGCTGGAGCACACCTGGGAGCAGTGACAACGCTGGAGCACACCTGGGAGCAGCGGTTGGGGGTGACAATGCTGGAGCACACCTGGGAGCAGCGGGGTGACAACGCTGGAGCACACCTGGGAGCAGGGAGGTGACAATGCTGGAGCACACCTGGGAGCAGCGGGGTGACAATGCTGGAGCACACCTGGGGAGCAGCGGGGTGACAATGCTGGAGCACACCTGGGAGCAGTGGGGTGACAACGCTGGAGCACACCTGGGAGCAGCGGGGTGACAACGCTGGAGCACACATGGGAGCAGTGAAACACTGGAGCACACGTGGGGAGCAGCGGGGTGACAACGCTGGAGCACACCTGGCAGCAGTAGGGTGACAACGCTGGAGCACACCTGGGGAAGCGGGGTGACAACGCTGCGCACACCTGGGGGTAGTTGGATGACAATGCTGGAGCCAACCTGGGAGCAGCGTGGGGGTGACAATGCTGGAGCACACCTGGGAGCAGCGGGGTGACAATGCTGGAGCACACCTGGGGCAGCGGGGTGACAACGCTGGAGCACACCTGGGGGGCAGCGGGGTGACAACGCTGCGCACACCTGGGGGTAGTTGGATGACAATGCTGGAGCCAACCTGGGAGCAGCGGGGTGACAATGCTGGAGCACACCTGGGAGCAGCGGGGACACAACGCTGGAGCACACCTGGGGCAGCGGGGTGACAACGCTGCGCACACCTGGGGGTAGTTGGATGACAATGCTGGAGCCAACCTGGGGAGCAGCGGGGTGACAATGCTGGAGCACACCTGGGAGCAGCGGGGTGACAATGCTGGAGCACACGTTGGAGCAGCGGGTCGGGTGACAACGTTGGAGCACACCTGGGAGCAGTTGGATGACAATGCTGGAACCAACATGGGAGCTGCAGGTTGAAAACGCTGGAGCACACCTGGGAGCAGAGCCTATGAAAAGGGATCTCCTCCTGCAGGACTGGACTCAGGAACATTGCACCCTGCTGCCTCAGGCCCACACTACTTAAGGGCTCTCCCACTGTGGCAGCATGACCTTGTGAACAGAGGCTGTTAGACATGTTTAAAGTTTAAAGGGGAACTCTGCAATATTTGGGTGCTGCCACACCACCACCTACTGGGCATACCTCCCCAGGGATTGGTTGGAGTCTCATAAGTATTCAGGCTGCCTACTCTGTTCTTCCTCCCGCTATAATTCTAGAATCCTCTAGAACAGGGGTGTCAAACTCAATTTCATGGCGGGCCACATCAGCATAATGGCTGCCTTCAAAGGGCCGGATGTATCCGTAAAGCTAGATGTGAAGAGCACCCCCACCTCAATTACATCACAGCGCACCACCCCTTACCTGCTGGAGGCGGAGCTGGGAAGCAGAATGTGCAGGGTCTGGAGGAGGACCAGAGGAGGGCTGGAGTCAGAATGCTGACACCAGGGGAGTTGGCTACAAGGGGGTGCTGCGGCTGCACAGAGAGGTGCAGGATCTGTAGGAGGAGTTCTGTCCTCCTCTCTACTGCCAACTGCTGAGACACAAGGTGGGGGGGGGGGGCTGTTTGCAGAGATGAGCCTCTCCACAGCTGCATGGAGAAGAGCAGGATCTGGTGGAGGAGTTCTACTGATTTCTGAGATGAGGGGGGGTGCCACAGCTGAGGGGCCAAATGAAATGGCATGGAGGGCCGGATTTGGCCCTTGGGCCTTGTGTTTGACATCTGTGCTCTAGAAGACAGGGAGAAGCAACAGAGCAGCAGCCTGTGAGGCACTGAGGAGCCCTAACCAGTCACCCCTGCTCCTCTGACTACAGAGGAGCAGCTACATTTACCAGCAGTCTACAGAACACCAGGAGGGTGCTACATGTACTACATGTGAGGGTACATCATACTTACAGTAATGTGAATGGGCCCCAAAACGTAGAATTCAAAACATTGCAAGGCAACGGCAAGTGAGCAACATTTTT